CCAATTCTGATATTTTCTTACAGTAGTAGTTATATACACTTGGGAAAATGGTACATATTTTTAACCATATATATATATATATATATAAAGTTATAGTCATTAATAAAATAAATAAAGTTATACATATTAATAAAACGTATGCAATCTGCACCCTCGAAATGAAAGTACAAAGACTGCCACCTGGTGGTGCAAAGAGAAAACTTATTGATATGAACTTTTTAGATCGCTTTAGTACAAATTGTGTATAATAGAAATGCAGAATATATGACTTTTTTTAAAGCAATAATACATTTCAGCAGTCATAAACATGTTTTGATAGTTAATGTGCCGGTGATTTGATGCTTCACAAAAGTTGCAGACGCCTTTACCAATATGAAAACGCTTTTGTAAACAACCAGTTATTCTTTACACCGATTAAAAAACGGCTACTATTATAAAGAAAATCTTTTCTAAATGTAGAACTAAATATATTGATTTGCATTGAAATACATGATGAATACTCTTGACACATGAAAGTGTAAAGCCTGCAGCTCACAACAAATGTGGAAGGTTATTACGTGTCATATTTAACAAGCCGTTTACTGCTACTTTGATGTAATTTTGCTCACATGGATAATTGAATATTAATCAGATGATGTCATTACGCTGCTGTGCCGTCAGCCAATCGTTGCATTGCTGATCATGATTTCGAGGATCAATAGATCTGTCCTTCACAACACACGCAGCGATCTCAGATCAGTTCATCCAGACATTCTAATCTGATTCGCGAACTCGTTTGAAGAACCAAATTAGCGAGAGATCAGTTATCAAGATTAAAAGATCCGGGATCTGCCAAATCATCTTAGATCATTTAAGCGAGGTACGAAGAATGGACCCCAGGCCCCAATTGTGTGTACAATTTATGTTTACAATTATGTAGACCCTTATAATCATCATCATCATCATCATGGTCGTTGTCACTATCGTCATTTTTAGGAAAGAGTTGACAGGCTTATGTCAGTTCAAAAGGCATTGTTTACCCTTTAATGCTTTTTTAAGTCATTCATTTTTATATTTTGATAAGTTGTATTCTGTACTTTTTTCACGCTTAAATATTTTCCAGACTCACTGAAGGTTTTTATACCTCCATATATGGATATAAACATCACAGTTTACTTTATTTGGCTCTACTCCCTTACACAAATGAGCTACAGTGTAATAAATAATAACAAAAACAATTAACAATAATGCTTTGACTGTATATGCAAATGACTTTTCTCTGTCATCCAAAGCGACCAATAGGAACCCCCCACTGCTGTGACATCATCATAATCAAAAACACATACCTTGATGGAGAAGGACCTCCTCATGGCTCGTTTGGGCCCCTCGTGGCCCCTGTAGGAGGTCTGCACACTGACGCTCCTGCTCATGAGCGTCCCGTCTGGTCGTCTGTCCTCCAGTGGGACGTCCCATGGTTCTCTGTATTTCTCCTCAGGGCTGGACGCATCCTCATGAGCGCTGGAGCTGCAGATGAGGAGCGAGCGAGACAGGACGGCCAGCTTTTTGGAGCTCAGCCCGGCTTTGCCCCGCTCCATCCTCTTGGTCCTCCTCCGCTGCGGGTGAGTGTTTCTCAGGGGTTGTATGGCCACGGAAGGAGGCTCTCTCCCAGCATGCATCGCTGCTAATGGAGGCGGCCGCTCTGCAGACGAGAGCCATTAGGAAATTCAGTTAGCAGGCCGTTCTGCCATCCTGTTGCGTCCTAAGTGTTCTCAGAAATCACACAGGCTACTGGGTGGAGATAAGAGCGCTTTTCTTCTGCTCTCCATCGCAGGGAGGAGAAAAGGAAATCAGCGCTGCCCCCTGACTGAAAGCCTGGACGCCCTTCAGAATTAGAAAATTAGCTGACCCCCCTCAATTGTATACTTGCAATTGAAGAAATTAAAATCATATTGCCAACTGTGCATATGTTTTACACAGCAGATGCCCTTCCAGCTGCAACCCAGTACTGGGAAAAACCCATACACACTCATACACTACGGCCAATTTAGTTTATTCAATTCACCTATAGTGCATGTCTTTGGACTTGTGGGGGAAACCAGAGCACCCGGAGGAAACCCACGTGAACAGGGGGAGAACATACAAACTCCACACAGAAATGCCAACTGGCCCAGACAGGACCCAAACCAACAACCTTCTTGCTGTGAGGCAACAGTGCTAACCACTGAGCCACCTTTAATGGACTTCCAAAACATAAATACATGGAAAAACAGTGACAAATCAAGAGCTACTAACAACAATCTCTGTAAGTAACTGTTAATAACAGATTCCCCCAGAGTTAATGTTTCTATCTCATAATGCTGAGATTAAAACAACAAGGGAAAGAGTATGTCAAAAAATGTGGTTAGACTAACACTCTAATGAAATTGTATTAAATTATATTCAATTTAAAAAATACTACACTGTTAAAAATAATATGATCGATTAGTCCTGACAGCATATGTTTTTAGGTCGCTGTAACTTATAAATTTAAGTTAGAACATGATTAAATTAGTTTAATAAGTTACGCAAGCTCTTTTAAGTCACTTTAACAGAATATAAGTTCAATGGACTCATAAAGTTAATTTGATTCATCTTAAAAATTTAAGGCAACCAGGACTTTTTTTTACAGTATAGCAACTTTTAACTTGGTTTTACATTTTAAAGTACTGAAAATGTAAAAAATAAATGGCAGAGATTTTCAATTTTCAAGATCAAATTTGTCAGAGCAGAGATTAGGGTTTTATAATGGACTCAAAAACATGAATAACTTGACAATTTATTGTGCTGGTGACCACAATAAAAATTGTGCTAGTGAACCCACCCCCTATAATGATTGTAAAAAAAGAGCTATACAAATATACTTTAATTAAATTAAACACATTCTAAGAAATACATTTTCAACAAAGTGTTGTCGGAACAGAAATAGAGGTGCCATAATAGACTTAATAAGCATAAATAATAATAAAAGAAAAACTAACAAATAAGCTAGTGACAATTTATGTACATATATACATTCACACATGCCTTTTTGTGAACTTGCATCAACAAAACACACACTAGGCAGTGTATTTTAGATTTGCAAAAAATATACACAGCACCCTCTAGTGGATATTTCAACTCAAGCATGAAACAAAATGTACAAGAAGCAACATACACTACAGCCAATTTAGCTTGATCAATTCCCCTGTACCACATGTCTTTGGGTGCTCCAGTTTCTTACACAGTCCAGAGGAAACACAACATAGGGAAAACATGCAAACTCTATACAGAAATGCCAACTGGCTCGAACCAGGGACTGCTGTGAGGCGATCATGCTACTCACTGTCCATGACTTCATAAGCATAATTAATCTAAAAAACAGTAACAAATAATAAGCTAGTGACAATATATGTACAAATATACATTCACACATACCTTTTTGTGGACCCGCATCAACAAAACGCACTTTAGGTAGCATATTAAGATTTGCAAAAATGTACACAGCACCCTCTAGTGGCTTTTTCAACTCAAACATGCGACAAGATGTACAAGGAGCATTCTATTTCATGCTTAGCAAAAATGTAGCCTGAAGCACAAATTTTCAAATGAGTCCGGCTTGGATAAAAACTATAAAATAACTGCTGTACTGTAAAAATAATATTGCTACCTTAATTTTTTAGTTAAACCAAACTTTTCTAGTCATCTCCACTTACACAAATCAAACTGACTAAAAATATTTGGTTAAACTTTGTATAACAAAAAAAACTGACTATCTTATTAAAATAATTTAAAGCAGCATAAATGGATTGGTGAAGTTTGGTCCATGCCATTGGCTTGCTTGGTTTGGGACTTGTCGGGCTGCGCATTGATGGATTTGCTCTACAATGATTGGACTTTCAGCAGTGAAAGTTTAACCAGCTGGTGACCTCTCAAGCCGCCTTTCCACTGCACACAACATTTGGACGCGACTGTTGGAAAACGCCCCCTTGTGGCAGCCGCACAGTATTTTCCAAGTGGTGCTCGCTGCAGAGCCATT